CCAGACACACCATGTTGTTGGTGTCAGAGAGAAAAAAAAGTCATTTCATTATTCTATAGAGGTGACAACCCACACATTGTATGTGGCTAAGCAATTCTCTCTGGTGGATAGTTTTCCTCACCAAAGATTCAGAGTCTGTATCTTTTGAAAACAAATATAGCTAGCATATCGAAAAGGCACAACTCATAATTCTGGAAAAATGCAGTTTTATTTTTTTCCATTGTCCTTTAACAGTGGGAAATTTGGTTGATGCCTGTGGGGTAACTTTTCTGTTCTCCAGCCCATAGATTTCTGCTTCTTCTTAGGTGACAGATGATCTACTATAACTAAGTCATGCATACTGTCAGATAAAAAAAGTAGAAAACTATAATTCTCAAACCTTTCAGCTTGATTTACTGTTAAATCTCTCTCTCTCCTGCTTCCATCCTTTCTTCCCCACTCTTGGGCTACCTTTGGAATGGAAGCCTCCAGTAAGGTGGGAGGTGGGAGAGGAATAGTCCTTCTCCATTTCTTTGTGTCATGTTTCTAGTCCTCCCTGCCCATCTTGATAGCTGCTGTTTTGACCTCACAAGAGTTCAATGGGACTGACGGTGATAGGGAGAGGTGACACATAAGACAATTCTTATTTGAACTAGTACTTTGCCATTTGGTCTCACTCTGGTTCTGCAGATGCCTTTTCCACTTGAGATATCATTTTCCTGGATTCCAGAGTTTTCCTACTTTCTCCTACAATTTCTTTTACCCAGCATCTTCTCCTGTTTTTCTGTTTTTATGGTCACTGTGACTTCTGCAGCCCCTGGACATTGAATAGTTCCTCTCTAAGCCCCTCCAGTCTCTTCCAGGTGGTTCTATTTGATGCACCCAAGATAGTCCCCATCCTGACTCACTTGGTGTCTTTTTAAATTTAATTTTTTATGTTAAAGATGTGGGGTACAATTCAGGATTAGGCATACAAATGTTCATTATGCAGGTACCCTTGTTAATGAGGTGCCCCCCCCCCCAGCACGGCAGTTTCCAACTACTGCCAATCCCTTTCTTATAGTATTATGATAATTGTTCAAGATCCATTAATGAGTGAGAACATGTGGTACTCAGTTCTTTATTTCTGTGAGAGATAACTCTGTATTATAGACTCCAAGTCCATCCAAGTTGCTGCAAAGTTCATAATTTTGTCCTTCTTTATAGCTGATAATATTCCATGTATATGTACCTCATTTTTAAAATCCAGTCCTCTTTTGATGGGCAGCACAGTTGGTTCCTCAGTGTCCTAAAGCCCAATGCTCTTCCAAGAAATCCTCATACATCCTGTCTGGGCCTGGTGTGGGTCCCAAATGCAGCAGCACTCCAAAGCAGTCAGCCATTCTCTTGCCTTATAGATTCCTACTTGGTAGTAGTTAGACCACACTGTTAATATCAGCTTTCTCAAGAGTGAGTTGGGCTTCTAAACCTCTCAGCCTCAGGAAACACTTGGGCTTTTTGAGGAATCTTCTCTTGACCCATAGCTAAAAGTTTGCACCTCCTTCCAACTCTCAGAGCTTGGAAGGCTTGGCGAAAATTGCACATCCCTCCCCTCCATCAAGAGATCTCTTCTCTGATTTTTTAAAAATTTATTTCCATTCTCTGACTCTTCTTCTGTATCCATTACCTAGCTGAGAAGCCCAAGAGGTCATTTACTTTGAAAATCTTTATAACATGGCTTGGCACTTTTCTTTGATATTTTACATCTATTATGTTTTGTTGCCTGGTGGAAACTTCAGTAATAAACAAATTCTTGAACCAATCCTTGAACTACACCCCAAGTGGTGTAACATCTGGCTCTACTAAACATTTTGATTCCAGAGTATGTTATTGTGTAAAAAAAATTTGAGGGTAAGGACAGTTCTCCTAAGAGTTTTATTTAATTCTTGACCAGCTATGTTATTCAGCATTTGTTAATAAGGACTATGGGCATATGAAGTTCATAAAATAATTTGGAATGAACTAGCTTATTGAGTGGACATAGTAGATATTTTTATATGGTAATAGATTGCTATCCCAATGGTGTTATGTGGTTCTTGACCACAAAGATCTCTTCCAGCACAAGAAAGGGGTGAGATCATGGTTCTCTTTCTAGACAAGAGGGTAGGAAAGTGACTGGGTTATACCAAGCCATGAGGAGACAGAGTATCCCGAATTAACTCCCTCACCAGCTGGCCATTCTAAACACAGACTAAATGGGCACCATAATAGCATGTTTCATTGAGATCTGAAGGGATGAAAGGGTGGTAGATGATTCTATTTTCTGAGTTCAGAATATCTTTAGAGGGTTGCTTCAGTCTAAAGCAGACAGAGAAGAGAAAGAGAGTTCCCCAGATTTGTCATAACCAGATCATTATGTGTTGCTGGTTGGCCTTAACTTTTTGAGAGCCAAAAGGCTGTGTGTTGTAAGGATATTCCCCTTACTTTTTGTTTATATGAAACCAGGGAGGGAAATAGTTGAATAAAATACAAAAGAGTTTCTTTTACTTTGCTTCTTTGGAAATCCGAATCATGAAATTGGAAGGCACTTGTTCAGTGTTTGATTTGCTAAAGTGATGATTCCCTAAGGTGAGGTCTTTTAGTCTTTTTGAACCTGTAGCATAAAAGTTTTTCACTTCCTTTGGGAGTCTAATTTTGTCCTTACTCCCCACCTTGCAGCTTCTTGAGATTCATATGCTTTGTGAAGTCATGGCAGCTATAAACATATTATAAAGTATTACTTTCTATAATTTCTGTTACAAAGACAAAAAGCATTTGTTGACTTTCCAAATATATAGGCATGCATTATATAATTGGATGTGCTTTTCCACTCTGTACTATACTTGTTCATACTGATAATACTACCACTTATAGAAAATGTCTTGCAATTTCAGAGGGCTCAAAGATCTCCTGAAGGTCATACATGAAACCCCAAGGGGACTGTGTCTGGCAACTTTAGATAACTTAGTAGTGGTTGCCTCACAGACTCTTTTCCAACCTGTTGGATATATTTATCCCATGTGGAATCACAGTTTTAGAGCTCTAACTGGCCTTAGAGATCTATTCCCACCCCTGCATTTTATAGAAAGTTTGATTGGTATGTTAAGTAACTTTCTCAAAGTTTCAGGACTATGTTTACACTGCAGATTCCGAGCAGGAATTCAGGCGGCTGAATTTCTTGTCTAGTATTCTTTCCACTATGTTATAAACTGCTTGAATCTTCTCTACTTTGTCCCATCCTCCTAAAGACAGCAACCAGAACTACAAGACAAGCAAATGCCAGGATAACAAACTGCAAAAATAATTTATATTCTTTGGTATATACTAATATCAAACTGCCTTTATTTTATAATATTTCTAAGGCTGGGCAAGTACTTATTCAATTGCTATGAAGTCAGATTTTTGCCAGTATTATAAATGATACAGAAGAAAAAATACATAGCATCTAATTTCTAGTGGTTTAAAATTTATTGGGGAGCGAAACACGATTCCTCATTAGCTTGTGGTCAGCGGTAACACCTGGGGCCTTGTTTAACCTATCTGTAATTAGTGCTTTCCAACCCTCCACTTCATCCTTTAGCTTATTCCTCTTTGATTTCTTCTATAGTTCACCTATATCAAGAATGATTTGTGATATTAGAAGAAATATAGAATTTCAAGGGTGATTTATTGATAAATTTAGTTACCAATAATATACAAACTCATACAGCAATACAGGACAGATAGAGTCATGATTTTCTAGGTGGGGAAACTGAGTCTCTGCAATATTATGTGACTTGTTCAGGATTTGCTCAGTTGATAGTAGATGGAACAGGGTCTTGCAGCCAAAGTGGCTGGTGTCAAAGCCCACAGGCCTCCTTCTAGTCTGTATAAGCAAGAGGATAATAAAGTGGGCAAAAGAAAACAGGCTCGTTGAAAATTGTAGTTTTGTCACAGTGAGGTCATGACAGCTCAAATTAGCTGACTGTTTTTTAATGTGTTCACTGTCCTGTGTGCCCTTCCTAAAACTGTGTGAATTTTTATGTGAGCAGAGGCCTTATCATGGTGAAAGAGGGAATCACAGAGGTGAGAAATGGATGGGACACACTCTCTTGAGATATCTTTGTCGAATTCACCTTTTTTTTTTTAAACCAAGAACTGGGCCTGAAGCAAGGACAAAAATACAAAAGACTTTAAGTTTCAGGACCTTAGTTGAAAAAGGAATTCAGCATCCACAACTGTCATCTAAAGACAACTTTCCAGGTTAACAAGTCTTGGCAAATGGGATAATGAGACTGCGTTTAAGAAAGTTGTTTGCTGGAACCTATGCTCTCATCAGACTCAAGCAGTGATTGCAGAGGGTGATCTTGACATCTAGTTTGTTCAGGGTATTCTTGTCCCTAAGCTTTTCCTCTAAATCACCAGTGCACTGTGGGATAATGTCACTCTTTGTATTTTTCCAAGGAGTTGGAGGAAGAAGAAGTAGAGATTTGATAAATTTACCCATATATAGAATTGAATTTATTTTGTTCAGCTGACATTTACCCATATCGTTTACCCCCAAGGAAGTCCAAAATAAAGCGTTTTGTAAGTTTTCAATAAGAAGAGAGAAAAAAGAAAAGAGGGTAGATGTTCTTCGACTGGCTTGTACTTTGGTGAAGGATGTGAAAGCAGTAGACCATTCTCAAAGAAGTAATCCTAGCTTTAAAAAGAACTGGTTCTCAAAAGACTGGTGTTGCCTATTTGCTATATTTGTTTCTATTTTGTTTGTAAAAGGGTTTATGATGTAATAAAGCAAATATTATTTTGTGGTTGAAAAGTAGAGTTCTCTTGTATTTTAGGTCTTACAGGAATTCTAAGGTGCAGTTAAAGTTGGATTTTGTGTGTGTGTGTGTTACAGAAGGTGGTAGGGAAGATGTGGGGAAGCCACAGGTTTACTTAGAAGCCATCATCTCTCCATAGTTTTAAAAATTTCATTGGTTTAAGATAAAAATAGATGAATTTTTCCCATAAATGTATTTCAGGGCCCTGATAGCATCTCAGCTGGAACCAACATTTGCCAGGTATGTTTTCCCTTGTTTTGATGAGCCAGCCCTGAAGGCAACTTTTAATATTACAATTATTCATCATCCAAGTTATGTGGCCCTTTCCAATATGCCAAAGCTAGGTAAGTAGTGCTTCCAGTCATTATGTATATCTATATTAACTTTGTCATAGCTCTTATATCAATAGCTTTTCTAGGCAGTGTGTTAGTGGTGTATTATAGTTACAGTCCACTATAACTAGGTAGAGCTGTCACCAGGGGGCACATGTCAGCGGCACCCACATCTTGAAGACGGTAAGTCCTAATTCTTTTTGTATTAGAAGCTGGGAACATTTTACTGTTCTTATTCATTGGCAACCAGCCTGCTCATTAGTTTGGGCTTCAACTATTAATCATTAGTGATTACAAGTTAGTGGATTTGGTCTGAATCTGGAGCACAGATGTGTTTTATTTGGCTCACGTGACTTTTTCTTTTGATTAAATTAGTGTCCAACTTTGAAAATTCCAGAGACAATACATAAAAATTTAAATTTAAAAACTTAAAAGATTTTACAACAACTCTTACATGACAGTGATCAGTTACAGTTGAAAAGAGGTTGCCTCCTGCAGACGAGACCTGGGCCCCCCAACCTGCCATGGTCTCCACCATTCCGTATTGAGTGTACACCTGCCCATTTCACATCAAGTGCCTGGCCCTCTTAGGCATTTGAGTTAGTGATTTCAGATTTAAAAACCCCAAACTGCTTGCTTCTACTAAGACCTAGCTGAAACCTGAAAATGCTGGAATAGCACCCTGTTGTCCCACCAGCATCCTGGGCAGCTCTAGATTAAGTGTCATGAAAAATGGGCTGGACCAGGAAACAGTAGAAGTGAGTCAGGGGCTAAATTTGCAGTGCTCATGCATTTTGCCCTCAATCAAGCCCATATTCCTCAAGATGTTGATTCAGGCCCAAGGTGCTGTTCTTAGATCTTCCTGATGTAGTTTTCGATAGTTATGGGACAAGTAGAAAAATCTGAACTGCTAGACTATAGGGAGTAGTTGGAAGGGAGTAACTGGGTGACAGCTGACAAATTAATTCCAAGGTAGATGTTATTGCTTAGGGTTACAGTGATTTGGACTAAAACAAATTTCTTCAGGTCAGTATGAAAAAGAAGATGTGAATGGAAGCAAATGGACAGTTACTACCTTTTCCACCACGCCCCACATGCCGACATACCTAGCTGCATTTGCTATATGTGACTTTGACCACATCAACAAAACAGAAAGAGGCAAGGAGGTGAGTGAGGAAGATTCTTTAGGTCAGGGAGGATGTATAGCTGCAGATTGTTCATCCATGCTTTCTGCATCCAGGGATTAGGCCTGTATACCCCATTGTCACTTCCTGGTTCTTTCTCTCTCTCTCAAGCCCTGTTAAAACTTTTAGTGTGGCTTTGCACAATGGGACAAAACATTACCTCCTGCAGCTCTATGGAGGGGTTTCCATGTAAAGATTGCATGTTAAACACACACCTCAAAACAAGTCTGATACTCCTCTTCCTGTCCTATATTCTGCTTTTGCAGAACACAGGAGAGAATGGGGAGGGCTGCTGCACTGGCCCCTTGATGCTCAGTTTTAGTACCTTTGGTTTACTTAGCCTACAGTGTTAATGTAGTCTTGGAGCTACATTAGAGTCAAAATGTGCAGCAACCAGTATGGTCCAGGCACCAACCAATCAGGACAGACACCAGCCAGAAGTAACTGCTGTGGCTGAAATGGTTCAAGAATCATTTCATGGTTGCATGTATACCAATGTCATCCCACTTTAGAAGCTTGGCTGCCACATTCTTCAGCTCTGGGGTATGCAACACTGCCCCAGAGTTGTATAAAATGGGCATTCTGTCCTGAAATACCTAGTTTTCACCCAGTTATACCTGTGTTATATATTAGCCCTTTAGGAGAATATGAGGTTACTGTGGTGGTGCTTTATACACAGGTTCACTCCCTATCATAGAGTATGGAGGTAAATAGGGTCAGTGCCTTGGGCCCAGTTCTTTCTAGTCACATCAACTGAGCTGAGAAAAATCAGGCCCTATAGCTGGCTGAGACACTCTCCTGGGCCCTAGATCTTCCTGGTTTGCACCATTGGTTTGTGGAAGTAAGACAGCTATGGTTGAGCCAAGTCCATCCTCGGGGGAGAATCAATCAAAGCTACTCCTCCTATAACACTCCTAACGTAATGATGAATTAATAATACTGTGTTAGTTGAGCAATTCTCAAAACTACTTTTTCTACACCGCTTCTAACCTGAGATTTGGAAATACTGTGTTGGATGCAAACAGCAGCTTGCTATCTTCCTGAGCTGTTGGTTTCAGCCTCATTTCTCTCTTGGGATAGTAACTAGAAGATCCTTGACATTCATAGATATAACACTGGCCAAGTCATATGTTCATGACATGTATTGTTAACTCTGCTCAGGCATGATTTGGGAGCAGATGCTTCGAGCCTGGCAAGAAGGACTGGACCCTCTGGTTCTCAGAGTTAATGAGAGACCCATGTTGGTCCCTCAGCATCCATTTTTTTAAGCGGCTTGTTGAAATCAGTGCTGCTGGATGGTCAATGATTCTTGCAGAGGGACAAAATTTGTTTAATTGTGAACGAACACCCTGAAAAGAACGCCAGCTGCCATGGAAGCAAACAGGAAATGGAACGTGCCTATGAAAGTAACATTCTCAGCTAGCAAACAGGGGTTTGGGATAAGCCTATCAGTGGAATGTTGCAATTGGCTATGGCTCAGCTCTACAAAGGGAAAGAGTCCACCATATACTCCATAGAAGAACCAAAGTGCATACTTGGAACAGTGTCCAGCCAATTCAAAAACTACTCATTTAGTAAGAGATAAAGATTTAGTGAAATCGAAAATGTGGTTAATGTGTGGCATGAGAATAAACGTAGAAAACATGTGAGTAGGGATGGAAATAACATAGAATAACATACAAAGAATTTAGAGCACATGGGCATTTGCAAAGATATTCCTCCCTTAGGCATCAAGATCTGCTGTGCTTAGGCAGGGCCACCAGAACACACTGGTGGACCAGGTGTAATTTTGAAGGAACTTTACAGCTGTATCTCCAAAATGGTCCTCGCTGACCTGTATTCCTCTCTATCCTGCCAGGGGCTACCCACCTTTCCATTCAATCTGAAATCCCCATCAGTTCCTTCACTTTTGGCGTTTAGAGTGGTGATTTGTGGGAGGACTTCTGTCAACATAAAAGGAATATTAATTTTTATTGCTATGATTTTCCAAAGGCTATAGCTAAAATACACACATTACCTTGGCTGTGAGGAGAGAGATAATTTTCATTCAGTAGTGTGACCTGTCACTTCAGAACCAGAATGAGGGAGGAGGGGTTTAGCATAAGGGCAGGGCTGAGTCTAGTTTCTCTTTCCCAGCATGCTGAGGCTTCTGCAGCAGAAGGAAGCTGAAAACAGTGAAGGGAGCCAGGCAGGAGCCACTGAACCAGGTGGTTACATTTTGTGAAAAGGGAGCATTCCTGAACCCTCACGTAATTCAGAATTCACATAATTAAAGACAAATTCTTCCACAGAAATAAAAGCAAAGTAAGGTGAATATGTTCTTGCAGTGTGCAAATCTACAAGTGTGAAATATTGTTGTCCTGCTGTTTGTCTTCTCAGCATTTTCTCCAGTGTTTCACAGGTAGCTCTTTCTTAAATGAACTCACTCACATCAGGGCAAATGTTTCAGTTCTTTCACCAGTAACTTTTGTTCCAAGGTTTGGGAGTTTTATGCATGTACTTTAGCATTAATGCTGGCAATTTTATTAAAAAATGCTTAGATCATATTGTTGTAGAGTATAAAATGTTTTCATATTACAATAATAATAAAACAGCAGCATATTAGTTACCAAAATCCCACAAATAAATTCCTAGTGACCAAACAACAGTAAGGTTACAAAAAAGTGCCAAGACAGTGCAGGGATTTCCTTTTTCTTCCTAAAGTAGAAGTGTTATTTGGCAATAGAATAACTAGAAAATATAATTCACTTGCTTTAACAGCTTTAAAATAATAAGATATTTGATGAAATTTTTAAAATTTGGGGAATTAATGCGCTTCAAATTTTGAAAATAAGATGGATTATTAATGCTTTAACTACCAAACCATTTTAAATTTGCATAATTTAAATTTGCTTAATATGTGCTGTAATATATTGCCTCCAGTAACAGTACAGTTCTCTTTTGGATCTTAGAAATATGTCTGGGAAAAGGAAGAAAGAGTTTGAGATGCATAAAATGTACATAGACTCTACATTTACAGTGGGGGCAGATGGTTGTGTGACCTATTTCAAGAATTGTTTTATGATTCCCAAGTTATTCATAATTATCGTGAAAGACTGGAGTACTACACTTTCCAAGGGAATTGCTGTTCATAACTTAGAGAACAGGGTTTTTCTCAGCACACGTATGTGTTTAAACACTTTATCGTATAGCTTCTTCTGAAAAGGTAAGACTTTAGCTCTAGAGTGGCAGGGAATTGGAGCAAGTGGGCTACTACTTCCTAAAATCACGTTGGCTTTTCCTAATTACTGCTTAACTGTTTTGATTTAGATACACATCTGGGCCCGGAAAGATGCCATAGCAAAAGGACATGCAGACTTTGCTTTGAACATCACAGGTCCCATCTTCTCTTTTCTAGAAGATTTATTTAATATCAGTTACCCTCTTCCAAAAACAGGTGAGGCACCTCTCCTTCCCATGCAACTGGTTTCCTGTTATGTGGGTCCTAGGTTCAGGTCACAGGGTACACAGATGAGCTCTTAAGGACTCAGTGTCACCATTTAGCTGCTCTTTTGGAGTTAGCCTTCTGGCCTCCCATCATGTCTTCTGCCTCCTGAAACATGCAGCGAGAGGCCTGTCTGCTCTTTCTCTAGGTGGTGTCGAGGGCTCAGCAAGTGTTGAACAGCTCTCCGTTTTGGGGTGACTCCTGATTACTCAGTGGCAGCCTCACCTCCTCCAGATCCTGGTTTCTTTCTTGTATTCTGATCTTTTCTCTCATAATGCAAGTGTGCAATGCTGTGTTCTGGATATTTTTAGCTAGTAGGTTTGCGTGAGTTACTCCAGCTGCCTTTGGTAAGTTTTTTTTAAAAAAAATATATTTAACTGTGAGTCATTGAATTAGAACTTAGTAGTCCCATCTGTGAACTTCTAATGTATAAAATCAGAATCATGTGTGAAATATGTAAATATTTAACCTCTCACAGATCTGTATGGTATGTCTTTAAAATTGCATGAGCCACTCAACTCAGAAAGTTGTTCAGTGTTTTTTTTTCTCTCTAAATTGAGAGAATCACAGAATTGTATTTTGTTCCTCTGACATGTTAGTTGACGTCTTGGAAAAAGTATGTTCGGCTGATACTGACCAATGGTGGAAGAAGGTGGGGGTGAATATTTGGGAACTGGAGCCTCCTGAACACCAGAGAGTCCGAGGCTGTAGGGCTTGAGGAATCTGGCTAAGGAGGAATGGGGAATGAAGGGATAGGAGCCAGCCTTGGCCTGTTCAGCAATCCTGGTGGTGACACCTGTCATTTAGGGGTTGGAGGCAGCAGGAGCTTGGGCTTCTGGGGCTGGAGGCTCCCAAGATAATCCTTATCTGGGCAAGAAAAGCTGCATTTATATTTATTTATGTGAGGAGAAGTCCAGAGTTATCCCTGATACCTTGTTCCTTCAAAGCACACCCTGCACCCAGTCAGTCACCTTAGCATCTCATCCCCTCACTTCTTCCTGTCAGCTCAGTTCTCCCTGGTTTACATCACCAACATCACTATTACAACTGCCCTCACATGAGTTTACCTCCTTCCCTCTCACCCCCTCCAACCCACCGTCCATATGAAGCCAGAAGGATCTTTCCAGAGCAAAATCTGATCATGTTAGTCTTCCCTAAAAACTTCTCCATTGCTTCCCATTGCCCTGAGAGCAAAATCCAACCCCTCCACCCATGTCTTTTTAATGATGCATCTCTTACCAACCTCTTGGGGCTTTTGGCAGGCCCTCAGAGTAGGAGGGATGCTCTAACACCATCTCTGTCCCCTCCTACACTTCCTTCCCTCTCCTCCAGGCTCTGACACATGCAGTTTGCACATCCTGGAATGACTTCTGTCCAACTGGTTACTTCAATTCTTATATTTCACAACTCAGTGCCCTCTTTTCCAGGAAACTTTCTTTGACTTCTTTTTTCATGTTTCCACAGCATCCTGCTCAATCTTCCATCTGAGCCCTGACCTGATGTATCCTAATTGTCCCCTCATTAGATCTTGGGGTCAGGATCTGGGTGGTCTCTATCAGTAAACGTTTTTTGGGATGTGGGAGAAATAAATACATACAATTAGTTCAGTAATTCTACTTAAATTCTTATTACAGTATTAACTCCCAGATGTCAGGGATATATTTGACACACTTTCTTTATATCCTTCATAGCATCTCATCCAGTATTACGCTGTGAGCTCCCATAGGTGGCTCAGTCAAAATTTAGTATTGATTGATAGGTAATTAAAATAAGGAGTTCCTCTGTTTGTAGATCTTTAGGAGACTGACATTTCTTAATTATTTTAACTACTAGTTGAGTCACTAATAAAACAAAACATAATACAACAAACACCTCCACACCCCAAATTGTCAACTCTTTATTGTAAATCAAGTTTGGAACCACAACTCAGGTAGGGTAAAGTGAGTGAGGCATGTTTCTGTGAGTGTAGGACTGGATCCTGAACAAGCGTATTTCTCACCAGTCATTCCCACCTATGCCATCCTCTCACCCTCAGTGAGTCAGATGAAAAACCATTTGGTTTAGTTCTCCCATGTTGTTCTTTTAGCTTATCTTCTTGTAGCATTTTCAATGAATTCTAAGCCTTAGAATCTAAGGTCATATAAACTATATCTGTATACCTATTATACAGAACAGTATTGTGTGTATGTGTGTTACTTTAATTCATTCTCAAGTCAAAATTGTACTAAAATATTAAAGTATTGTAGGGACTGGTAGAGTTAGGAGTTCAGGTTATTACAAGTTTGAAAGAAATACTGGGATGATACTTTTAGGAATAAATGTGAGCCAGGCTCGGTGGCTCAGCCTGTAATCCCAGTAATTTGGAAGGCTGAGGTGAGTGGATTGCCTGAGCCCACGGTTTGAGACTCACCTGGGCAACTTGGTGAGACCTCATCTCTACAATAAATCAAAAATTAGCCAGGCGTGGGAGCGCGCGCCTGTAGTTCCAGTTACTTGGAAGGCTGAGGCGGAAGGATCACCGGAGCCCAGCAGGTTGAGGCTGCGGTGGCTGGGAGCATGCCACTGCACTCCAGTCTGGGCGACAGAGTGAGACTCCAACTCAAAAAAAAAAAAAAAGAATAAATAGGGCATTTAAGATTTGCAAATTTTTTAGATGGCCGCTTTCCTTTTATGCTTTGGTTATGCTCTTAACTTGTAATAATCCTGGACTATCTATCTATCTATGTATTACATATTCCAGCATAGTATGTTTTTTTGAAGCAGTTAAATTCAAGTACAAGACAAATCCTAAAGCTGAGAAATAGTGACCATAATGAATGAAAATGTACTGAGTAAATATGAGGTGCCTATTTTCTAGATGCTGTGTGAATGTAGAAAAAGTAGGTTGCCAAGACTGTTCAGAGTTCATGTAGCTGAGTTGAGGAGATTGGATGTATGTGTCAAAAATGTAAGCAACAAATTCCATGAGCAAGAGAAAAAATACTAAGGAAAAGTCTTAAAAGAGAGAGGATGAAGTAGTGGCAATTACAGTGGCAAAAATATATACAGAACATCTACAAATAAATAAGAAAAATACAACCCAATAGAAAAAAAGTAAAAAATATATGAATAGAAGTTTTACAAAAAAAGGAACACATGTGGTTGATAAACTTATGAAGAGATACTTAATTGTGTCAGCAATCTGAGAAATGAATATCCAAGGTCCTAGTCAGGCACTGTTGTCTCACTGAGTCGTCAGAAAGTAAGCATTCAAACAAATGCTAAGTGTTGAAGAGAATGTGATATTGTTGATAGGGCTATCAGTTGTTACAGCCACTTTGATGCATATTTGCTATCTCGTAATGGTGACCGTTTGAATACATTAAAATCTGTGATACCATTCCTATGTATATCCTCAGGAGAAATTTGAGCACATATGTACTAGAGGATATATACAAGAATGCTGAGAGCTACACTTTTTATGATAGCCCCAAACTGAAAATAACCAAAAGGATCATTGACAGGAGAATGGATAAATAAATTGTGTTATATTCACACAATGTAAAACAATATATTAATGAAAGTGAAACATTTTTTCTAAAGTTTACATAAAAACCAAATAATATATTTATATGTATGTGTTCCCAGGTGGTGTTTAGGCTGCTGATTTGGGAACAATACTATGGTTTGATTGATATCATTCTAAATTAGATGGTGATAAACTCTCAAATTTGGTCCTCCACCTATTTTTGTGTGACCCATGAGCTAAGGATGTTTATTCCATTTTTAAATAATCGAAAAAAATCAAAAGAATAAGACTTTGTGACACCTGAACATTATGTGAAATTTAAATTTCAGCATCCATAATTAAAGTTTTATTGGAACACAGCAGGCTGATTTGCTTACACATGTCTGTGACTGCCTTTGAGCTGCGGTGCTAGAGTTGAGTATGCAACAGAAAATATATAGGCTGCAAAGTCGCAAATATTTACTATCTGGTCTTTTACAGAAAAAAGTTTGCCAGTCCCTATTCTGAAGGGTTAAGTGGTAAATTTATGGGTGTTTGTATTATCATTTTAAAATAGACTTGTGAACTGATGATGATATTTTATCAAGAAACAAGGATTTTGCTTAATTTAATTCCATGTATCTGAGGTTAAAAAAAAAAAAAGTATTATAAACAGTCACAAGGGTTGGTAAGAAATCACTTCTTACAGCTGGTAAGATTGGGCCACAAGTATTTCTGGGTCTGCAAACTGCTTGCGCAGAAGAGTCAGAGATTGTAAAGAACTGAAGGGATTCGCTTGAGTGAAGCTGAGCAGTCTTTTGTGAGAAAAGAGTTTGGGCTGGTGGGTGAGGTGGGTGTAGGTGGGGAAAAAGGAAGGTTAGAAGGATGGGCAACCTTGATTAAGGCAACTAATTATGTCTAAAGGTGATAGAGTGCTAACTGGTGGAGGCTATGTAATGACGGGGATATACTTTACCACACACTGTCAGCTTCAGCAATGTGCAAAGTCAACTTAAATATTTAACACAGTATAGCATAGTGCATTCATTAGGCAAAGGTAACATGGATTATAAGGATGATATTTTTTCCATTAGAAAAAGAAAATAAAAACTTTATTGTTCTTCTAGTTATAAAAGTAATAAATGATCACATTGTAGAAAAGTTGGAAAACAGAGAAAACCACAAGAAAAGAAAAATCACTTTTGATTTTATATTTTCCCAAAGTCTGTCAGTTTCAATATCTGTCTTCCTCTGTATTTACTTTTTTATTTTTAACAAAAATGGCAGCATAGATTTGACATTGTCATTTGAATGACTTTTTTTTCCCTTAAAGTTAATAGTACACAGCAATATGATCCAATAACTAAATATCCTTTTGTATTGGCATTTTTATGACACAGAATGCCTGCATATCAGTTTGAAAAAATAATTTATATAATCCTCTGTTGTTGAACATGTAGATTGATTCTACTGTTTCTGGACTACTTTTAAAAACATTAAAGACAAATATCTATACTCTTTATCTTAGTATAAATTCTAAAAGTAGAATGTTTTGTCAAAGTGCATGAACATTTTTAAAGATTATAAAGCATTTTGCCAGATTGCTCTAAAATTATTTTACCAGAAGACACTCTCACTGGCTATGTGCCAGTTTTCCTATACCTATATCATTACTAATTATTAACTTTCTTAGGTATTTTCAAGATTTAATTATATCATTTAAATTTTTGGTTTTTGATAATTTAATGAAGTTGAACATTTTAAATAAGATTTTTGGCTGTTTGAATGATTTCTTTGGTGAATTGTTCATTTTTTTCAGAGTTTTTTAAATATTAAAATTGCCTAATTGTTGTGGCATATATGTCAAGTACTTTCCCTGGCTTGTAGTTTGCCTTTTATATTTGCTTATAGTGTAATTTGGTGAACTAAAGTATTTAAATAGACTTTATTAAAAAACAAGAAAAAGAACAAACAAAAAAACTATTTTAGAGCAGTTTTAGATTTACAGGAAATTTTTTGTGTAGAAAGTGCAAAGTTCCCCTATAGTCCCTTTTCTTCTTTCTCCTCCCTTTCTCCTATCGTTAATATCTTGCATTAGTGTGGGACATTTGTTACATACATTTGTTACAATATTGATAATTGATTATTAACTAATGTCTATAGTTTATCTTAGGGTTCACCCTTTGTGTTGTATGGTTCTATGAATTTTAATAAACGTTTAATGACATGTATTCACTATTACAATATAATATGGGCTAGTTTCATTACCATAACAATTTCCTGTGCTCCACCTGTTTATCTTTCCCACATCCTCTGAATCCCTGATAACCACCAATTTTTAAAATTATCTTTATCTTTTGCTTGTTCCAGAATGTTATATGGTTGAAGTCACACAGTAAGTAGCTTTTTCAGACTGGCTTCTTGCACATAGCAATGTGCGTTTAAGGTTCATCCATGTCTTTTTGTCACTGAATAATACTCTATTGTATGGATGTACCAAAGTTTGTTTTTCCACTTGCTTATTGAAGGGCATTTTGGTTGCTTCCAATTTTTAGCAACTATGAATAAAGCCACTATAAACATTTATGTGCAGGTTTTTGTGTGGACATAAACTTTAGCTCATTTAGGTGAATACCAAGGAGTACAAAGGTTAGATTATTGGTAAGCCTATGTTTAGCTTTGTAAGAAACTGACATGCTATCTATCTTCCAAAGTAATTCTTCCATTTTGCCTTTCTACCAGCAGTGAGTGAGAATTCCTCTTGCTCCACATCCCCACCAATATTTGATGTTGCCAGTGTTTTGGATTTTAGCTATTCTGCTAATAATAGGTGTGTAGTGATATCTTATTGTTTTAATTTACAATTCTCTAAAGATGAATAGTGTTGAACAGCATCTTTTTATGTTTATTTGCCATATATGTATCTTCTTTAGTGAGATGCCTGCTCAGATCTTTTGCCCATTTTGTAGTCAGTTTGTTTTCTTGTTGTTGAGTTTTAAGTGTTCTGTCTATTTTTGAATACCAGTCCTTTAAAAGAGCATTTGATTTTAATATAATTAAAACAACCTATTTTCTGGCTTCTATCTTTGGTACTAGCTTTAAAATTCCTTCTCTCCCCCTCAGTTTATACTTACTTGTAATTTTTTGTAATTTGATGATTTCATTTTGAGATACTTATATCTAGAAATTCCAAAATTTTTGGAAGAGATGATTTTATATTTTCCTCCATTTAAATCCACTTAGATATAATTGCCTTGCCTGATTTTGACAAGCATGCAATGGAAAACTGGGGACTTTTGATATTTGATGAATCATTATTGTTGCTGGAACCAAATGACCAACTGACAGAAAAAAATGCTGAGATCTCCTACACTGTCTCCCATGAGATTGGACACCAGGCATGTGGTAAAACATTCTTTATTTCACATAAGTTATTCTCCATATGCTCTACCAAAAATAGTAAAAACTCTGCCATATACCAAATTTAAAAACAAAAACACTACTCAAAATATTTGACCATGAATAAAAACAAGAAGGTTCTGTGAAATCAAATTCGGGGTAGATTTGAGCTATTGGTGATAGATCATAGTGATGAGACCTTACAGTCCAGTTGAGGGTCGGGTATCTAAAGATCAACTTTGCTCCACAAAGTCCTCTTTAGAAAAAGTAAGTGGTGGAGAACTAGGATTTTTTTTTTTGTTTTCATCCCTCCTTAAAAGAAGGGATATTCAAAAGGATCACTGAAGGATACCTGCATTTCATCAGCAGATTGTTACAAACTTCTATTTTGTGTTATTGATGGAGAAAGGTTAAATTGACGCAAGTGATACAAGGAGGACCTCCCAAAACCTGGAATTTATTAATAAAAAATTATTTATTCTTACATGTTTAAACATCAGACACTTCAAAGTACTCTCCGTTTGATGCAATACACCTGTCAAATTGCTCTTTCCACTGATCAGAACAGTCTTTGAAATTGTCAATTTTCATGTTTTTTAGTGCTTCTGCCATGTTTTTTGTTTCACCTCTTACACGTTGGCAAAATGAGGACTTTTTTTCATGGGGAAACAAAAAAAGTCACCTGGAGTGAGATTGGATGAATAGGGAGGGAAGGGCAGGGAGATCATGCCATTTGGGGTCAAAAACTGCTGAACACTCAGCACGGTGTGGGCACTTGTGATCATAAATCATCGATCATGAAATGGGCAAAGATGTTGAATGAATCTCAAAAAAAAAAAAAAAATTCACTGAAGTCCAATGCAGCTTCTTACAACACTAGCTGGTACACAGATGCCAATGGGTTCCTAGAACACTTACCTCAAGGGAGAAGCCTGTGTTACGAGGGGCCTGTCCTCCAAAAAGATAATTCTTTTTAGGTCCCCCCACAAAAAAGTGTGTATCAGTAAGATGAGAAATAATTAATCCTCAGACTGCATCCCAAAGACAGTGTAAACAACAATTCATTTTAGCAGATCTGTATGCCCTCACTTTGGTATTTTAGAGGTTTAGCTATTTGATTTGATGTAGATTTTCACATATGCATTTTAGTCTCTATCAATACACGTTTGACAAGAAAGAACTCATCTTAACCATGAAAGTGCTATCTGCTTAGTTATGTGGCTCTGTAAGAAATGTTGGAAAAGATAAATTTACTACATTTTAATAACACCCTGGTGCACAAGGTGTTATTTTCAACACAAACTTTCGTAAGTTTTGATCAATCACCCCAAGTGTCACTTTTTTATTATAGTGTAAGTGAGACATCGTTTTGGAATATAGACTGCTAACTATTAATACATCACAGCTGTTATAAGAGTTTGGTTAAATATCAGGGCATGGGTTTGTTAGTTTTGGAAATTATTGTGTTTTTCTTTCCTAATTCTGTTCATCATCCATTTGGTGCTTTTTTTTTCTGTTCAGTTCAAGTAGAAAATAATTACAGCTGGATCATGTTGCAGAACATATGATTGACTGAGTGATTTGTACCTAGCACAGACCAAATCATGTTCCTAAAACATAAACAACTGCTTAAAGTAAAATCATGTTGTAGCCTATTTAGAGTATAAGGGTCTAGAATCAGTAGGTGGAAAGTCAGTATTCAGGACTTCTGCTTTATGGAACTAAACACAACTTTGGGGCCAATTGGACAGTTTAAGAATTGTTACTCTAGCCAAGCTTGTGTTTAAACAGAGAAATGCATGACTGATATCTTCTTATGTTAAAACAACATGTGCTTTTTGGAGTCTTATTTTCAAGTATTATTGGCAAATGTTAAGTATATTTTTTGTCCTCATAGTTGTTTAACATGCAACTACAATGAACATAATGTAAATTAAATTTAAGAAAGCTCTTTTTTCTCTCATCTCCAAAAGTGGTTTGGAAACTTGGTTACCATGAATTGGTGGAACAATCTCTGGCTCAAGGAGGGTTTTGCATCTTATTTTGAGTTTGAAGTAATTAACTACTTTAATCCTAAACTCCCAAGTGTAAGTATGTTTGTTAAATTTAATAGTTTTTCTCCTAATTATAAAACAATGCATATTCATTGTTGAAAATGTAGAAAATACAGAAAAATACACGGAATATTAAATTACCTATAATACCAGAGATAATCTGTGTTGTCTTTTGGACATTTGTTTTATTCCATGCTTTTTACTATGATAAATGTTTTTGAAAATTGGAAATACATAAGAATTTGTAATGCTTTTTCTACTTCATATCATATCATACGCATTTCTACAAATTATTAGATCTTTTTGGTAAAGAAGATTTTAAATGGGTGCCTAATATTTTATCATATCACCTTAACAGGATGTTTGTATGTAATATTTCCATATTTCTAGATTTCAGGTTATTTTCACTTTTATTCCTATTTAGGTTATATTTACTTATTCCTACTATATTTTAAAGCAGTTGTAATCAGTAGTCTATTACTTTAATGACATGGTATTTTTAGTGATTCAAATTTCTTATTTTGCTAACTTGAGCAAATAGTAATGAAAAATAAATTTATGGATATGCAAATATGATTATTTTAACTGTACTCTACATTTCTGGTATTTAATTTATTTGTAGTAATTATGTAGTACTTTCAGAATGGCATGATAAAGCCATATTGGTTTGACTTGATTTAGATATTTACATGTTGAGACCATGTTATTTTTTGATATAGATCTCACTTCTTTAGAAACCAGAGGTCCCTTCTTGGTTTGCATCTTTTCTCCCCAATTCTGCCTCCAGTAACCAATCTGATCCTCAGAATTGCTCCTTCCTGCTGCTCTTTGTTGGCCTCCACCTCATCTCATCTCCCAGTTGTTCCAAGTCTAGATTCTTGGCCTCTTTTCTCTTCCATAACATTCATTTAAAGTGTTTATGAGCATTTGTTTTCTTTGTTTGTTTGGGGTTTTTTTAATCTTAGAAACGATTCTTTTATTTATTTTTTATTACTTTTTTTAATCAATATTTTTTATAATGATACTGTGGGGTACAGTTAAGGGTTAGGTATACAAATATACTTCATTCAGGCACACTTGTTGATAAGAGGTGTCTCCCCATCTCCAGACAGATATTTACTACCATTAATCCCATCTCCCTTCCCCTCCCCCCCATAGTTTCCCACCACTGTCAGTCATTTTCTTATAGTATTATGTTGGATGTTCAAGGTCCACTATATGAGTGAGAACATGTGATACTCAGATCTTTGTTTCTGTGAGAGGTCACTTAGTATTATAGACTCTAGTTCCATCCAGGTTACTGCGAAATTCATGATTTTGTTCTTTTTTATGGCTGCATAGTATTTAATCGTGTATATGTATCACATTTTTAAAAATCCAGTCCTCTTTTGATGGGCAGCATGGTTGCTTCCAGGTTCTTGCTATTGTGAACAATGCTGTGATAAACATATGTGTGCAGGTATCTTTTCTATAGAGTGATTTGAGTTCTTCAGGGTATATTCCCAGTCGGGGAATTGCAGGGTCATATGGGAGGTCAATATTTAGAGCTTTTAGGAATTGCCACACTGTTTTCCACAGAGGTTGCACTAGTTTGCACTCCCACCAAAAGTGTAGAAGTGTTCCCTTTTTGCCACACCATCTCCAGCAACTGTAATTTTTTGAGTTATTGATAATTGCCATTCTGACTGGAGTTAGGTGGTATCTCAGTGTGGTTTTGATTTGCATCTCC